GTGGCCTGTAGGACCAAGCTTTCCTTCTCTGTTTCCTTTTTATCTGTTGCCTGTAGGACTAAGTTTACCTTCTCTTTCTACTCTTCTGTTAGTGGACAAATAGAAGCCAAGATTTCTAAAGGAGGGACTACAGTCAAAAGAAACAGAGACAGAGGTATGGGATTCTACGCAGGTTTGCAATTTCATTCAAAATTATTCTACATGTTGCTGAGTTTAGTTCTGCTTTGTTCATTTGCTTTTTACAAGAAGATTTTTAATCCAGAATTGACCTTTCTACTGCTTTTGGTCAAAAGTGTATGTGATATAATTCTATACATGTACATGTTTTTCAATTAAAGAAAATTGGTCATTTCTTTAAAGTTGTAATGATTTGATAAAAGAATTAAGTGTTGATCTTTTAGTGTTTTTTTCTAAATGTTAATTCTGCCATGTAAAATATGATTAACTTTATGTATTTACTAGTGATATCTAGGAATCTAATATATATAGAATGAAACTGTGTAAGAACATAATCAGGTCTGATTTAAAATTTCGTGTAAGTTAAGAACAAACATGTATGTATATATACACTGAACCAAACTTTTATGTGCTCACTTAACATTTTTTAGTTATTATAGTGGAAGTCGGAATTAAAACAAGATGTTGGTTCACTGTAATGATGTTAAATATATTATACAAGTATAGTACTAGGTACCATGTACTATATACCAGATTCTGCAAAATAATATCACATACATTTACTAAATTTGATATCACATATAACAGAAGAATCTATATCAGATAATGATTATATATTAATGAGATCAAAAAATAATAAATATTGACACAGGTCAATGAGTTATATCTGTTGACTTTTTATGTTTAAATACAAATGATATTCTCTTTACATATTCACTTCATAATAGTGGATAATAACTAGTCACAGTAATACACATGTGCATGTAGCTACCTACCAAACTATGGGAATATGAATCCATCTCTATTTCTAATACAGTACATATGTGTACGAGGGTTGTTCCAAAAGTTCGTGGAATTTCTTCATATTTTATTTATTTATAAGTGAAGTTGGCTGAAAGTTACAAAATAGATATAGACACTTGTTGAATATTTTAGAATAGAAAATATTTGACATATTTGTGATAGTAATTCTATGGCAGTTGCCATAGAAACTGATGTTTGGAACTGCGGGGGAGGCATCAACGCGTTTATTGTAATTTTAATTCTTTAAAATTGAAATGAGAATAAAACCGCCCTATGTGTTATAGAAAACGAAAATTATGTCATTATTACGATTGCTTGATCTTTTATAAAACTCTGTGTGAGAGTTTTACCGATCTAACAGGATATTTAGTTCTTTAGTTGATAATTTATTATTCATCCTTAGGTTGTTAGACGACGTCAAATTTCGGTCAAGTCATAAGTGTTGTGAAAATCCCGGGATCAGTTTATTTTAAATACGTATACTATTGACATAGACAGGGGAATGCATTCAGCTGGTTTTCCAGTAGCGTAAGAAATTGAGGAAAAAGAGAACTTCCAATGACGTTGATTAAAGGTGTGGCCACCTTTTTGAGACTCGGTTTTAAGTGTTTATCCCCCCTATACAAATTAAAAGCGTTTATAGACGTTGTCGGCTGACGAACTGTTCATGATCTTGCTACTGAAACCGGAAAAAAATATAGAAAGATGGGGTGTATTTTGAAATATGATTGAATAATGAAGATAAGTTGGTGCGAGAGGATACCCAGGCTTTTCGTGAGAAAAAGAAATTGGAAAAGGGAAGCATTTTGTAGAATTACGTGTTCAAATTTGACATTAGCGTGAAATGCTTCTATAACGTGTCATGACAGACCTAACTTGACGTTACGTCGAAGTCTCCCCCGGGTTTCACAAATATCTATTTTTAGAAAGCTGGTGTGACTTTATTGGTGATTGGAACGTAGAGAAATTTTCCAGTATTGTTGCATTATGACTTTATTATAAATATGCCTTCTAATTGCTTTTATCAAATCACGATAAAATTTTAGAAAGAATTCCACGAACCTTTCGATCAACCCTTGTAAATGTCAAATGTTTTATCTACAATTCATAAATAACATTCATACACTATATATCCTTCGTGTCATAAAATACATTCATTACAAAATTTTAAATCAACTAGTTCATCAGCGTTCTGATTCCATTGTTCATGTGTCCCTGTGTGATTCTATGTGATCTGATGCCATTGTTTTTGTGTTCCTGTGTAATCCCTTGTATTCTGATGCCAGATTGGCTAGCTGCAACAGACCTCTCAATTAATCTGGAATCATCCGGTAGAAATTAGAGTCCAAGACTTTTCTTTCCTACTGATTTTCTTTTCCCCACTGACTTCCTTCGCTTGGGCTTTAACAAGGCCATACCACCATGACTTTAATTCAAACCATCTTGTCATCTTGAATTTGATAATAAATGAAAACCACGACTTTTATTCTGATTGAAGACAAAAGATTAACAGTGTTGCAAAATAATTATTCTGCGTAAACATAAAAGACATAGAATAAGTTATAAAAAATTTTCCGTCTTTTTCTTGATCGAGTAATCTAGTAAGCACTGACCACATATAAAAGAACTAGTTCATATAGCATTTAATGTATAACTATTTAAGTGTTCATGCCAATAATGATAAATCAAATTTAATTCATTGACTATATGTCAAAGGCAGCATTCAAAACTGGACAATTTTGCTGTCGTCTGCAGAGCAGAGCGACACTTCTCTATAAATGAACTTGTACCTAAATTATAGGACAAAGTTTAATTTGCAATTATACAACGTTTTTTTTTAAATATTTAAAAGGTAACTGTCAAACCTATCGATGCCATCAATAACCTGAAGGGTATTTAAATCACATGATCTGAATATACGTCAGAATCCAAACACCCATACCATGAAGAAGACTGTTGTACGTTGGTTAAGAAGGCAAACTTGAAATATAAAAGGTAAGTAAATATAACTATCGCATGGCTGTCGAATTTTGTTTTATTCAGCAGTTGTTCCTCTTTAGAGTTTTAAATTTTACATTAATATGTTTTTCCTTTAAACTTTTCATAATCAATAAATGCATTTACGTACTAAATGAAAAGCAGAAAGGGTTGTCTGTATTATATATATCCCTTCTTTTCATTCATTAAAAAACTTCCACTTTAAATTTAGAGATTTGTACAATCTAAAGGAGCCCTATGATTCCTTCTTTGAATAAAAATGATACACATTATTTCAGAAATACCTTAATCATGTGACTGAGACACCTATAATGGACCCCCGTTACTGTGCCCAAGATATACTCCTCTGTGACCTGTGTCAAACAAATGCATTACAGAGTCATTGTGAATTCTGTGGAGACAATCTCTGTGTACTCTGTGTTGGAAAACATCTCTCCTTGCCATTTAGCAAACACAGTGTTGTACCATACAGTTATATAGCTTCTAGTCTAGACCTTGACTACGAAAACTGTTTAATCCACACCCAGAAACATTGTGAACTTTACTGTGAGAAATGTGACACTCCTATCTGTTCTACCTGCATCTCCTCTGGGAAACACAAAGAACATGATATATCTGATGAAGTTCAAAACCGGAGTTCCAAATCAAACGGTTTAGAAAAAGAGTTAAAAGAACTAAAATACAAAATCAATCCTGTATATGAAGATATAGAATCCGATTTAAAATCGGAGAAAATTAACTTAGAAAAACATTACGAGAAACTGACAACAGCTGTAACCAAACGAGGAGAAGAATGGCACAGAGAAATTGACATCATTGTCAAAAATAACAAATCAGAAATCCATGAGATGAAAACAAAACACTTGGCAGTTCTAAATAAAGAGGAAAATGATATCCAACAGATTACTTCTGATATAAAACAGAGTATTCTTGATCTGAAGACAATTATGGACTCCAGTGATGTATCCTTAACACCTGCATACAAATCCAGGAATGCAAAATTTAGACATTTACCTCCTAAAGTCAAAGTTTCATTACCAAGTTTCTCTCCTCATCAGATCAACAAAGAAAAACTCAATCAAATGTTTGGGACTCTATCAGCATTATCCATTATAACAGAAGAACGTGGCTACACAATGAGGACATCAGAAGCTGTATCCTGTCCTCCGGTCAAACCTGTGGTTGATAAACCGGAGCTCATCGCCACGATAAACACTGAGGATAATGATCTAATGAATATTACCATGCTAAATGATGAAGAAATTTGGACAAGTGGGACTGAGAAAATTATAAAACTCTATAACCTCCAGGGCAAACTACTGAAATCGATCCATACCAAGTCGGGGAGTATTCCAAGCGACATAGCAGTGACAAGGAGTGGAGATCTAGTTTATACTGATCCTCGTACAAGAACTGTAAACATGGTGAAGAATAAACAGATACAGGAAGTGATCAGACTACAGGGGTGGAAACCTAACAATGTCTGTAATACCTCCTCTGGTGACCTCCTGGTTATCATGGTCAGTGACGATGAACAGTCAAAAGTTGTCCGTTACTCTGGCTCCTCAGAGAAACAAACTATTCAGTTTTATAGTAAAGGTGCTCTGTACTCATATAACTATGATGATCTTAAGTACATCTGTGAGAACAGGAACCTGGATATCTGTGTTGCTGATAGTGGAGCCCATGCTATAATAGTAGTTAACCAGGCAGGAGAATTCCGATTTAGATACACTGGTCATCCCACTAGTACATGGATAACATTTAATCCAGCCGGCATCACAACAGACAGTCAGGGTCAGATCTTGACAGTAGACTGTTACAACAAATGTATCCACATCCTAGATCAGGATGGACAGTTCCTCCGTTTCATTGATAACTGTGATCTAAAGCTTCCACATGGTTTATGTGTTGATACAAGAGACAACCTCTTCGTAGCTGAGTTGGAAGTTGGTAAAATGAAGAAGATCAAATATATGTAATACGTCTATCATAATCATGCAATGAATACGCAGCTAGTTGAAGGCCACCCATAGGAAATATGCCTTAAAATATTCCGAGAAAAACAATATAATGTTGTTATTTTTTTTTATCACGAGTTTTAATTTAATGGGAATTTTAATTATGCATACATGTATGTATGTATGGGGTCTCAACCAAGTTCGGCCAAAGCGATTAAAATTAGACAAAATATGTACGGATACAGAGATCGTAAAAGTTCAACGATATACAGATAATTTTTCACTATAAGTTGATTGTGTTTTCTTAAAGACAAATTCCTTCACCAGAAAAGTAGTTAGGAGCAATTTCCTCATGCCCCGAGAATTATATAAAATTTAGCCGTCTTTTGATAAACTTCATGGAATTACACTATACGCGCACACTCTTCGAAATAGTAAGGACAATAGCTTCATGTGTATAAAATATAATTCACAGTTTAGCGGATATCGTTGAATTTTTGAGTTTTTAAATGGGTTGTGCCTGTGATTGTAGTACGTTTATGAATAAAAGTACATGCCTGTGGCTTTATAAGTGACGTACTAGTTATCATTTTAATAAGACTGTGAAATATTGAGTAATGCATTCAAATATTTGACTCAATTGTACTCAAATCACGCTTATTTCGTTTTGATTTTTAAATTAAGAAGCAATAATAGCTTGATCTGCGTCTAAAGTACAGAGAAAATGCGTGTCAAACTATTCTATGATGTCATCTCTGTCAGTATAGCGAGATCAAGTTGGTTTTGATTTTACATTCATATTGTGTTACAATGGCAAGATAAGTTACACAATAATCATGTTAATTTATGTTTACAATAACTAGTAGAAATCACAGTATATGAGTGTATGAAAAAGAAAACTATTTTTTATTTGCGGAGATTTATTTGTACAGTTTCACCGTGACGTCCAGATCGATTTCCCAAAGCACTGCATAGACTGATACAACGTTGGGCATCCTTGATTTAGCACGTGAAGTCAGACCATGCCATAAAATTTTATACAATATTGTATACAAACATTTTCTTTGGAAATGCATTGTTAATGAAATAAAATGTGTTTTTCAATTTTGTTAATTTTGTTGACAAAAAAATCTAAACTTTGTAAAATTAGGGTCTCTACGTGTCTTCCTTATTCAGAGGATTAAAATCAAACAATATGTACAATACTGGAGGATGACTAGCAGTTTTTCCGTTACATCGATAACTATAATCTACAGAGGCCATGGGGTTTATGTGTAGACACCAGAGACAACCTCTTTGTGATGTGTCACGAAGATAAATTGAACAAAATCAAAGATATGTTGGAGATTAAATAAGTAATCAGACTTATATCCCATTGAAAATGATATAGACATGTGGTATAACTTCATTTACATACATTTTAAGTGCAGATTTTCACTGGCAACTCTCTGTAAAACACGAATGTGATATGTAATTTATTATACATTAGATAAAAATACTAACGCACCACCAAATAAAATTAATCTTACTTTTGAATTTCTTATAAAATAATGGTACTTAAAAAAATATAGCATTTCAAAATGTGTTAACTGATAAATAACTTCAATGTTAACTTTAGGCATAACCATTTTATTGAAAAATCGTTCCTATATTTTTGAAGGAATAAATTTCTATTTTTCGAGGTGACGTAAGTCAGCCTCGTTAGCTGTTCTAAAGCTTTATTTAATGGCGGAACCCTGCGATCACTACCATTTGCACTTTCTTATTGATCTTTGCCCTTTGGGACAATTCAGTACTCTTGTTGTCAAAATATTATACCTTAGAAGGCAAGGATTTAATCAGAGACACGTTGCTAATATGTAAACAACAGCACTTGCAAGATTGATTGGAAATATTAAAACGTTCATTATTACCAGTTCTCTAAGAAATATAGTCCTCTGATTAAGCATGTATTGAAATCAGAATTTCAGTCACAAAACCTGATCTACAATGTATTTAATGCAATTTCCAAGCAATAAGTAGTGTTTTATGGATTTACAAATACTAACTGCAAATTCCTGGGAGGGAATAAGATATGAAGTATCCATACGCTCCGAACTATTTTAGCGAGTGTAAAATGTAAACAACTGGCTACAGCAGAGATCGTGACCTACATGTATGTGTATTAAACTGTCAATGTTTATGGCTGTCAAACACAAAAAGCTAGGGTACCGATTATCTTCAAGAAGCACTTAAATATATTCTTGTATGTAACGTTTCATAAAATGTTTTTAAAGTATGTATACAATATTTGCAAGTCTAAAGTAATTGAAACACCTTTCATATAAGTTTCAAAAGCTTCCAATATATTCGTACTTTGTTTTAAAATGATAAAGGAAAAAGAAACACATAAGAACATAACATGCGAATTCTTTTGAATCTGTGGCCGAAAATTATGAAAATAGGGCAGATGCGTATTTTGGTTACTTTGTACTAAAATCGCTGGTCAAAACAACTCAAACCAAGAAATATATGGCGTCACGTAGGGGAAGTGATAAAAAGTCAAAAACACGTGCATGTTGATGTTGATAATTTTGTGATCACCTTTTATAGTGCCATACTATGCATTAGAGTTATACACATCAATTTGCATATTTGCTGTCAGTATAAATTTCTTGCAATCATGGTATGGCTGACGGAAGTTACATTGGGTCAAGTAATTGAATTCAATATTGCATAAGTGAGTAAAAAGACAAAAACATGTTGCTGTGCAGATTGTTTTGAATTTTTCAACCAAAAAAATTCTTTCGGTTGTCAGAGAGTTAACTTAAAAGGTTTTCGACCAACTATGACGGTTACGTTGGCGCGTAACAACGTCATATCAAGACAGGGCTTTTCATCATGCCATCCCGGGTATTGTCAAGGTATTATATCCGAAACCGATATTTATACATTAGACTATCATACCCACTTTTTCTCCCTATAAATGACAGAAACTGTCTACTTTATTTGGTCCGCGATCTTGGCATCTTTACGTCGTTTTTACTCTCACACACGCACGTATGCGTCGTATACGTTATGTTTTAGCATGTGTAAACTGGGAAAATGTAGCTAGTGTTTGTTGAGACTTTTTTACAAACATTTACGTGACTGTACCAAACTAGCTGGATATGTATATCTTTCAGCTCTAAAGAAACAGTTTGTCAAATATTAATAAAATTTGCTAATTATAGAATACTAGACAAACCAACATTCCTTCGTAGTTATATTTGTCGTCTTCCTTGCAGTCAAAAAATTGTATCAAATTGGAATTTCCCAATCTATTTTTAGATCAATGTAGAGGGAATAATTCCTTGTATTCACTAGGATCGTCACGCGTAAGTCAATACAATGTGGAATTTTTCTAACATAGTTGGATCTGAACCAATCAGAAAGATACAAATTATTCAATCATATGATAAAACATGGTATTCCTTGCGTTATTTTGTTTTAAATAAAACAGAATTATACTTCTGTGTTTGGAAAAAATGAAATAGATAAAAATGAAGGTTACAGATCCAAGCATTGTTAAAAAAAAGAATAACTTCGGTTTATTGTGATGACTTTATGTCTTAATTGAACAGTATTTAATATCACAGTCCATAAAACAATACAAAACACAGACCTCCAAAATATCAGAGGTGGGATCAGATGCCATAGAAAAGTGAGTATCCCCTGTCGACCGTTCACATCCGCCGTCATGATCGGAAAATAACAGGAAAATCTTTTGTCAATTCAGTGTATAAAAATGGACTAACAATTAGTAAGAAAAAACGTCAGTCAGCACTTGACTCAATGATACATGTAAATTGTATTTGCTCGCAAGGTCGTCGTGTCGACTATAGAACTTACGAATGATGACTTTAAAGGAGACTGCTGATATTCTTGTATCATCAACTTGTTCTTCAGTAATTTACATAGTTTTGATAATTATTCATACATAGAGCATGGTCTTGCGTATTGCATCAACTGAGAGATATAAACTCAATATACAGGTGATCAAGGTACTGTATGTTGCTGCATAAGTAAGGCAAGTTGATGATACAAAATTTAAAGTCATCATATTTATCATAGATCTTGGTTGTTAGATTTCAATTAACGTACGTCTTTTTCAAGAAAAATATCCATGTATGAAACAGATGTGTCAGACAAAGTAGTATCTTATATTTCAAATTTACCAAGTTATATTGTATCGAGATAGGAATGGAAATTACCATTGTTTATTGACAATATGTCGTCGATACATCTGTTGGTAAGTTTAAAGCCACGGCAAGTGTTTTCTTCTTTTTCATGCATAAGATTTAGCACAAATACTGCTTCATATGAATACAAAAACATGTCTGCTAATAACGGGGCGCGATTGGTACCCATGGAAATTCCAATAGATTGTTGGAAGACCTGGTCTCCAAAAACCGCATGTTAGATAGTGTCACTCAGAAACTCAAGCATCTTTTTGATGTCAACTTTAAAGTGCTTGTACGTGCGATCAGAATGTGTTTTAACAAAACAATTTTGTAAATGACCAATGACCAGGTAAGTAAATTTACGCGTTCCATTTTTATTGAAAAAAAACCAGCTGTCAATGATATTAAATAGCCTGGACTTTAATTCATTGTGGGAATTGTTTGTGTATAGAGTTGAAAAATCGTAAGTTTTTAATTAAGCTGTTGATTTTTGTAAAACTTTCTGATTTAAAATCGTCTAAAAGTTCTTTGGAATTTTGGTGTATCCACATCTGTTCAACATCACTTCTCGGATACATGTATATTGTTGCACAGTTCTCTTGAAATTTTGTCTTCACTGCTGTCAATACACAGCACTGTTAAGGCTTACTATGAGAAATCAACGGAAATATGAGTGCAAAAACGGGAATCTTTTTAAAAACTGAATTTATTTTTATTAAGCTTTTTATCATCACAGAGCTTAAATACTTATGGAAAAAGTATAGTATAATCTACTATGTGCTGTATGAAGTTTGGTCCCATCGATGGACAAAAAATTGTGAATTATTGTATACCAATTGCAAGTTAAGAATACAGTATATTACAATCAATAACTTCTGCACCCAATAAAAATAAAAACACACACATTTAACTGGCTAAAGCAACATGTATTTCAATAAATAACTTGAAAATTTGAACTTGAGGAGATATTGCTGATAAAGAATTTTTCGAGAAATTGAATTTCCGATTTTGCGGAATAAGAAAATAGTATTTTTGTTCTTGAATGTAAAATATTCAGCGTGTAAAGACGCCCTCTGTACCATCGGCTTGTACATTCATTGCTGCCATAAGCTTGCGTATATCATATTGATACGGTCCAGGGTTCTCCATGAGGTGCTTTACACAGAAAAAATTCTCCGACACAGTATCGATTCCAATTGTGCGCGTGCGACAGATTAAAAAAAAATTGCGGACACAGCACAATATGTGGTGAGCATAATATTTAAACATAAATTTTGTCTATCTGAAACACAATTTATTCAACTATTCCACCCACTTTCAATTCTAAAAGGTAGAGCACATAATAAAGCCTTCACCGTGCATAATGAATTATCTCCTAGACCCTCATCGGATTTTACGCTTTAAGGAACAAATAATTTGTTTAAACACTTCGATGTAACGGTTTGTTACATTAAACATACATTGGATTGTTTTAAAGAAAAAAATTAATTATGTCTTTGCTATAGACCACGGCTATAGA